GCCCATGTGAGCAGAGTGATGCCCATGTGAGCAGAGTGATGCCCATGTGAGCAGAGTGATGCCCATGTGAGCAGAGTGGTGCCCATGTGAGCAGTGTGGTGCCCATGTGAGCCCCCCAGGAGTTCAGAGGGTGTGATGAACAAAGGAGACATGGGTATTCAGGTGGAGGGAAACTGAGTCAGAAAAGGTCAGGGAGACTTGGAACGGGGGTCAAAGGGTCTCCTTTGGTGTATAGCAGGGACAATATGTACATGCTTTAGGGACAGCCAAGAGACACATGAAAGCCCAGGAATACTCGGAGGCAAGGTCCAGGGCTCCCAAGTGTTACAGGAGGCAGCTGGAAGGAAGGCGCCATCCTGCTCTGTTCTATCCTATATTCATCCTTTTCTCCTCTCCAGGTGCCTCCGAGAGAAACCGCAACCATGGCGCTGATCCTCCTCACGGCCACCGTTCCTCCGGTGCTCCCTGCTGCCCTGACCATAGGCAATGTGTACGCCCAGAAGAGGCTGAAGAAGAAGAAGATTTTCTGTATCTCTCCGCAGAGAATCAACATGTGTGGCCAGATCAACCTCGTGTGCTTTGACAAAGTGAGTTCCATACTTTCCAGGTTTGGGGGTGAGGTGGGGTGGTTTGGATACAGGGCAGAGCTGGGAAGGACCTCGGAGAATGTCTGTCCTGGTGAAATTATGTGAGCGATTCCTCTCATCTCTACCCACTGTTTCTCAGAAAGAAAAAGACAGACAAAAGCCAGTGTAGACACTTCTACCACGCTGTCTCCTTTCTTTCCAGGGGTCTGGGATCTGGGTTAAGAAAGTATTATGTCTGTATGCAGGGGCCTGGAGAAGTGGCAGAGGGAGATTATATGCTGGCTGAGGATGACTGCTGTTATTGGGCATGTCCCAAGATTTCCATAATTCTCCTATGGGACCCAGGAGTGACATCGGCACCAACCCCCCCCCCCCGGCCCCCCATATACAGATTTTGTCCTCATCTTGGACAGGCTGAAGTGCAGTGGGCTTTGGCTGGTCTTTCCCTGTTTACGTTTATTTATGTTTAAATAATTAATCAACACTTTGGCCACTTTTGCAGCTAGTCCCCATCCTCGAGAGCCAATATTGTACACAGTGCCTGCAGAGCATCACGAGTGCTCCCTCTTCATTTTGAGGAGGGTTGGTATTTAGCCAAGGATGTAGGGAATATGGGAGGAAGACAGCTATCATGCTCTGAGATGTGGGCTTGGTGGAGGTCTGAGCAAGCCTCAGCAGGTGCTTATCTGTTGCACGTGGGAGGCCACCTCGGAGCTGCAGAGTATGGGATGGCCCAGATTCCGAGCTGGCCAGTTCAGAGCACAAGGATGTAAAAACGACATCCAACATTCCAGGGACAGAAGATCACAGGGTAGGGCTAGAAGCTGGGCATCCAGTGAGATGGTGCTGGAAAGCTGATGTGGCAAAGCTAAGCAGCAGGCCATGTCTGAAAGGAGAATGTGAGGCTTTAGAAAAAAATTAGACACATGAAATTTTTGTAGAATTTGTGTGTGTGTGTTTTTGTTCTTTTGATGTGAGATTTATGAGGGGGCTCTTAGTTACCTTTCTTGTCATTATGATCAAACACTTAAAAGCAGCAGCTTAAACGGGGAGAGATTTGCTTTGCCTCAGTGGTAGCCTATGTGGCAGGGAGGGCATGGTGGTGTTCACACGCATCTGGGGCACCACAGGGAGCAGAGAGCTAGACTGGAAACGGAGACAGGCTATGACTTTCAAGGTCCACACCCAGAGGTTCTACAGCCCTCCAACACAGTGCCCCCAAGTATTCAAACCCATGAGCCTCTAGGGGAGGGTCAACATTCAAACCATAGCGGAAGGGATGGAGGAGAGACAGAGAGGGAGGGGCCACCTGTGGACAATGAAAAAGCTGTTCATGGTCCTGTGCCTGGAGAGTGAGGGGAAGCCGCCCAAGGAGACCTGGCCCTGCTGTCCTCGGGTGAAAACGGCATGTCTCTTAGGTTATTTTAATGTCTCCGTCTCTTCCTTTTTCATTTGGCAAAACCAGTGCTCAGTCTCCATCGGCTAGGACCGGAGAGTTAGCTGAGCAACGGCTTGACTTGAGCATCAGATTCCAGCTCCTTGGCAGTTTTCACATAGAAGTTCTTCTCAAACATCCAACAGCCTCACGGGTGGGGTGCCTAGCCTACAGGAGGGCTGGATTAACCATGTCCTTTACATAATAATCACCTGTCCCAACACTAATCCCCCTCCACCCCCAGGCTGTTATTTTACTTCCCCTTTTTTCCCTCATCCTCATGCCATGGGCCAGAGGGGCTGCTTCTCCACCCACTCAGCCGGCCCAATCTCACAAGCTGTGGCAGCATGTTGGAGTGCTAGGATACCTAACGGGGCGTGGCAGGATGAGGACTCTAACCCTGAGTTCGAAACTAAGTGTCGCTATTTCACCCAGAAAGCTTGAACTATAATTACCTTTACATTCTTTTTTTCTAGTTTTACATTATAGAACTCTATCAACATGATGTTGTATTAGAAGACCCCACAATTAATTTTCAGCCAGTGTTGTATCCCTGGGCTTCTGAGTGTGCTTGTTTCTATATACTCCCTCTCCCATCCCTCCATCTGTCCCCCCACCCCCGATTTGTTAGTTGCTCTCTAAGACAGATTCTCTATTCAATTCAGCCTGAGCTTGGGCTTGAACTTTATGGTAAGTTTTTCCTTTTCCATTCTATTCTCTTTAGATTAGGACTATAATTTCATTATCTTTCTACTTGAGGTTATTTTTGTTCTATGCGGTCATTTTCACATAAAGAAGTAACACGGTCTCATTTCTCTCGCCCTGTTGCCAAGTCTCCCTGTGTTCCCACTCAAAACATGGATGCTTAAAAACGTAACCTCCCAAGGAAAACTTCTCAGTTAAAACTACGCTGCTAATTCTTTCTGAAATGGAACAACCCAAGGGGATGTGGATAGTGAATACGCAGGTTGGCACCTTAGAGAATGTGGGAGGAAACTGTAGCATATCGCTTCTTTACAAATAGTGACCTTAAGGACTGACCTCTCCAAGCCTGCTGCCTGTCTTTGGGAAGTCTGGGTGAATTCAAGAAAGAAGGATTCTTTAATTCCTTTAATGTGGAGACTAAGAGTAGGCTTTGTCTTCCCACATGCATGGCAGAATTCACCAACATCCCTGCTGGTGGAGGAAGGTTGTCTGGATTTCAGTTCAGTCTTCCAGGCTGTGGACCACTGTCTCCTAGTGGGGTGCAGTTGTCTGACTCTCCTGTGTTTGCTCACATGTCAGGAGGAGAGCTCTGTAAGCCCATCACGCTGATTGGATGTGTTGTGATGACAGATGATGCCATCCGATTAAAAGCTAGGAAACCCATAGCAGTGGGTTTAAATAGCTCACGGGGGAGCTGCTGGTGTCTGTACCTAGGAGTGTCACATCTCTCTGACCTGTTCTGGAGCAGCAGCAACTCTACTCTGAGTAGGCCCAGGGTGGTTGGCCTAAGGCTGCCAGATCACAGGGCAAGCAGCTAATGAATAGCTGGAACATGAAAAATGGCACAATAGACTCAGTTCTGTTTTGCTTCCTAGGTTACATAAACTGACAAGCACTTTCCCACACTATGGAGTGGCTCAGGACCACTTTCCTCTTGACCTGAAGAGAAAACTCACTCACAGGCATTAATTAATATTTACTATTAGCATTTCATTCCTGTCTGTGGACCGAAAGTCCCTTATCAACACATCATTACCATTTGAACAGTTACTGCATCCGCCATAGTTTTAGAAAATATTAGTGAACCAAATGGCAAAGGGTGGATTTACTGGTCTTGGAAAGAGAAACAAAACAAAACAACACACGCAAGCTCTGTTTTGAAAAGACAGTGGGTGCCTCCAGCAGAGCCAGCTGTGAGGTGGCTGTTGTTGGGTTTCCTCTCACAGAGCCTCACTGCAATAACAGCAGCAGACAGGACAACAGGCAACCAGAGCCAAACACAGCCCCTGCACAGTGTTGCCTAGAAACTGGAACCTCCTGGGGATCCTTCACTAGATTTGAAAGTGAATGCTGATGAACAAGGTTGTGGGTGACTGCATAGGCTGTAGTTTCTTGGAAACTTGGATTTTGTTTCAATTATGGTATCAAAGCTTTAACTCTCCTGCTTGAAGTCAATCATAACTTTTTATTTAGACAGGGACGCTCACAGAAGATGGGCTGGACCTCTGGGGGACTGTCCCTACGGCTGGCAACTGGTAGGACTCTAAGATGGGAGAAGTGGTGGGGAGGTTACCGTGCTGATGTTCAAACCCACCCCTGCAGGCTTGAGGAATGTGATTCACACTGGCTCCCAATTAGTCTAACTCGTTTAATTAAATGTGTCCCAAATTCAGAGTCAGACAAAGAAAGTAGATCTACAAATCCAGCATGAAAAAGTGGAATAGAATAAGGTAGATGATTAAGGAACTGAATTAGTGAGACAGGGAATCAAGGAGTGGAAATGAAGCCGTGCTTGAAGATGGCAAGGCTTCCTGGGTGGCGGGGCAGATGAGTGTGTTCAGAGACCCGAAAAAGGGCTCCATTGCCTTCCTGTGGAGCTCCCAGTCTAATGACATGAAAACACATGAATGGACTCACCTTCGATGTGAAACATGGGCCATGAAAATTATTACCATGAAGACAGAGAATCAGAATGGAGACAAAATAATAAAGTCCCTTGATGTAACATACAGTTCGGATTTTTATGACACCTGATGATTGAAGGTAGAAATTCATTTTCAATTTTTGTACACCAATGATGACTCTCGGAAAATGATGGCATAGGAGGTAGATTTCAAAGCATTATCTAGATTGAAATTTTACAGACCTGAGCTAAAGGCTGTCATGGTAAAGCAAAGAAGATAACCATATAGATACATACCCCAGAGCGGAACAGGAGAGGGGAGGGAGAAGGGTCCTAGCTCCTTTCTGCAGGGCTGAGGCATGCCTTTGTACCATCTGAATGGCAATGGCTTCTGCTTTTCAGCTTTGATTACCCTGCTTCAGCTCCCAACAGTGGCTGAGGTAGCCGGAGCATCAGAGGAAGAGTCAGGCAGAGTCCGCCAAGCTAGTGATGCGGCCAGGTTTGGCACAGGCAGGGTGCAAGGTTGTAGGTGATAGCCCAGGCCGAGTATAAAGAACAACCTGATTTCTAGCTCTATTCATGTGTGTCTGCTCCTGTCTGTTCAAATGTACTGATTAGACCTTTGTCCAGAGAAGCACTATATGCCTGTGGTCCAGGGCAATGAAGGTGGAGGATGTTCTTCTGAACTTCCCACTCTAATCTTCCTCCTGTGGCCCTTGTGTAACACGAATTGCTAAACGGTCTTTAAAAAACCCGGAGCCAGATATTGGGGTGAAAGCTGAAAGATCAGAGGAATAGAACAAGCCACAGCCAACCTCACCTTACCAACTCCTCAGCCTCCAGAGAAAGCTACTTCCTGTGTACTCACACCTTGTATACCTTTTAGTACCCTGCCATCTTACTTTCTCTCTCTGCCCAGCTACATCACTTCCTTTTCCTGCCCAGGTCTATCACTTCCTGTCTGTCTGTATAGACCTCCAGACCTCTATGGTTGACTAGTGCTGGTATTAAAGGCATGTGCCAGCATGCCTGGCTCAGTTCCCAGTGTGGCCTTGAACTCACAAAGATCAGATGAATCTCTGCTTCCCAAATGCTAGGATTAAAGGCATGTGCCACCACTGCCTGACTTCTATGTTTTATATGGTGGCTGGCTTTGTCCTTTGATTCCCAGGCAAGTTTTATTTGTTAGAGCACAAATGAAATATTACCACACTCTTGCATGCTGAAGCTTTAAAGGGGTAGGATCAACTAAATATGATCACTGTTCAGATTGAAACTAGGAGGAGCTGAAAGTGAATGATGCCAGGCTATCCTGTCAATGAGTAGAAGAAACTTCAGAGACAAGATATTTGGAGAAGAAATTTCAGGAAATGGTGGTAGACTCCAAGGAACTGAGTAATGAGAATCAGTTGAAAGCCTCTGCTTGCTTTTAGTTGCCTGGAACCACTAGACAGGTTTCTTCCTGTCCCAGTTACCTCGTGAATCTAAAGACTTCTTATTTAGAGAGAGCTCCATGGGTTTATATGCAACATCACAATATTTTATATATATAAAATGTGTATCCCCAAACACCCTGAAATTTGGTTTTTGATTGACCAGTGGCAGTCTATATATTGAAGGGAAAATCCATATCCAACTCAAAGAAGGGTTGTGTAAACATTACTCTTCAGGTAGAATACTGCGGTTGAAAATTGAAAATCCCCAAGTGAGCAGAGGACCGTGAGCAGAGAAATCCCTGAACAAGGAGAGACAGTGCAAGAAGCTTAGTGTAGCTCTAGACTCAGGGCATAAGGATATTGGCAGGATGAGCAGCTGTAAGATGAGTTAGAGCTAGGGCAGGTAGCCTTGATTAGCAGGTGGCTCAGATTGTGTCTGAGTATGATCCCTTTCATCCAAGAAATCTGTATGCAGCCCAGGTATGTAGGTACAAGAAATGAACCAAACACTTATATATATTTATTTATTTTAAAACTATGCTTTATACATGCACAATTTTACCATTTATTAAAGACAAAAGTGAATTTGCACAGTAACAATGTGAATGTCCTTGCTTTTAAATAAGGAATTAAATCTTGGTTGAATATTTGATACAGTAGGAGCATACTTGGTGTTACTCAGATTTGATGAGTATTTTTTACATTTTAAAAGGGTACTTCATTTATTTTATGTGTCTGTGTGGATGCTTGAGCACAAGCATATGCATCATGTGTGAACCTGGTACCCATGGAGGTCCAAAGAGGGTATTACATACTCTTAAATTGTTGCTATTGATGACTGTGAGCTGCTGTGTGGGTCCTGTGACCTGATTCTAGGTCCTCTCCAGCCTTAATTAGTGTTTTGTTCTTATAATTGTCAATGCTGAGAATGCTGCTTTATATAAACTCATACTACAAAATAATGGAAATATGTTTAGGGCCATTTCAGGAATTATTGGACGTTCAATCCTGATTTCAAGCCAAAATTCATTAAATGCTTTTTATAATGAAACACAAGATTTTTTTTCTCTTTGGGAGCCCACTACCCAGCTCCCAAATAAATACAGGGAGACATATTCTTACTTATGAATGCCTGGCCTTAGCTTGGTTTGTTTCTAGATAGCTTTTCTAACTTAAACTATCCCATTTCTCTTTAACTATGTTTTGCCTCTGGACTTTTTAACCTTTCCTTATTCTATGTCTTTCTTTCCTTCTTATTCCATGGCTGGCTGTGTGGCTCGCCCCTGGTGTCCTCCTCTCCTTTTCTCACTCCCTCTTCTCTGGCCCCTAGATTTCTCCTATTTATTCTCTCTGCCTGCCAGTCCCACCTGTCCCTCTCCTGCCTCACTATTGGCCATTCAGCTCTTTCTTAGACCAATCAGATATTTTAGGCAGGCAAAATAACCCAGCTTCACAGAATTAAACAAATGCAACATAAAAGAATGCAACCCATCTTTGCCTCATTAAACAAATATCCCACAGAATAAACGAATGTGACACATGTTAAACTAATATTCCACGACACAAAGCAACTTGCATAGCAAATTTTAGAACAAATATTCTAATAAAATACCACCAAAAGGTATACTAATTTAATACATGCTAAGGAATGACAGCAGGAAAATACTAAAAAGTCTTTGTTTTCCATCATGAAACCAGCATGTTCTATAGCTGTGTGTGTATATATAAGCCCTGCAACTTATGATGTAACAGTAGTCTATGTTCTGAACCAAGGTGCTCTGGGCATTGTTCCTTGGTTTTGCCTGATGTGCTGGCATGCACCATGCTACGTGGGCATGATGTATGTTCAGAACCAAGAGTACAGTGAAGTCATGGGGGGCGACACAGGTAAACACTGCACAAAACATCTTGGGTTCATTACACATTTGATTTTGAATTCATTGTGTGGTTGCTGACATCCAGACACATTTAACTGTTGCCATATATTTTACCGTCCCCACCTTTATTCACTCAATCCCATACGGGCTGTGCTCAGAGTTTTAAGAAGCAGTGATACAGAATATGGGAAAGTCACTGTAGAGGGCGAGGGTAAGGGTCAGCTAGTTGGAGTGCTGCCTTGGTAAGATTTAAGGGGCAGATCATGCAACTTATTTTATTGAGAATTCTAACTCTATCTTCTTAACCAGTTTCCAGGCAGTCCACAGCTTTGCCTCAGGCCAGGCTATGCCCTGGGGCCCACTGTGTGCAGCCATGGCCAGCTGCCACTCCCTGATCCTTCTCGATGGGACCATCCAAGGAGACCCTTTGGACCTCAAAATGTTTGAAGGCACTGGCTGGGTAAGGTGATGGTTGTATCAATCAATCAAATGAGGACTTGAAGAAACCTTCATTGGCAGAACTGGATCATTTTTTAATTCAGATACAAATCTAGAAAATGGCCATACTTTATCATTAGTCATTGTTATAAATAGCCATTGCAAATTTTTCCAAATTTTATCAGTATAGATTCATGACACAAAGTGATTGTATCTATGGCATTTTCTTCAGTATCATGTACTTTGAGGAGCTTCACTTTCATTACTCTCTCTTGACCTCCCCTGGATTGTCATTCCTCTGTGTAAATAGTCTCCCTTGTGTGTACATATCATATATGCAGTGTGTGTGTGTGTGTGTGTGTGTGTGTGTGTGTGTGTGTGTGTGTGTTCACACATATGAAAGAAAGCATGCAATACTTGGCTTTCTGAGTTTGGTTTATTTCATTTCATGTGATCTCCTGTTCCATCTATTTTTATTCCAAATGACATAATTTCATTTTTATGAATGAATAAATGATGTAAGTATGCCACAGTTTCCTTATCCACTTACTTGCTGGCGTACACTTAGGTTGCTTCTATACCTTGGCTGCCGCAGTTGGTGCTGTAGTAAACATTAGTGAGTAGATGTCTTTGTGATAGGTTGAGTTACATTCCTTCAAGTGTGATCCTAGGAGTGATGTAACAGGATCACACAGTAGTTCTCCTTTTAGTTTTTGCAGGAACGTTGGTAACAATTTTCATAGTAGCTGAATGATTTTCACGACTCCCAACGGTCTCTGTAGGTTTCTTTTTCTCTCAATCCATATCAGTGTTTATTGTGGCTTGCTCTCCCGATTCCAGCCTCTCTCTTCTCTCTCCATTTCTTTCACTGCTCAGAAGCGTGTTAACATCATGTGATCCCATTTGTCAAGTTTTGCTACTATTTTACGAGCTGTCAGAATCCTTTTCCAAAAAACCTGTGCTTCCATGCAGGTCATGAAGTGTTTCCCCGGGAGTACTAAAATTTCAGGTTTTAAAGTCTTTGATGCATTTTGAATCAATATTTTTACCAAGTAGCGATGGGAATCTGGTTTTATTTTACATGTGCAGATCCATGTTGCCCAGCACCATTAGTTGAAAAGATTGCTCCCCGTCCCAGTATATACATATTTTTTGTCAAAAATCAGATGGCTGAAGCTGGTTCACCACTATCTCTTCTCCATTTCCTTGGTCTGCGCTCTGTGTTTGTGTCAGCACCATGTTGATTTTGTTATCATGAATCCGTAGTATAATGTGACATCAGTGGTTTTGACACCTCTAACATTGTTCTTTCTGGCTCTGGATTGCTTTGGCTATCTGGGTCCATATGAATTTTAATATTGTTTTTCTTTTCTGGTTCCGTGAAGACCATCTTTGGAATTTTTACAGGGATCACATTAAATTTTCAGGCTGTCTTTGGTAATATGGCAATTTCTATCATGTTGACTATCAATAATGTCTGCTTATCAATGAACATAGGAGGTCTATATCCATCTGGATTGGAAAAGTCAGTCAAAGCTTCACTGCATTGTTAAAAGTCGTTTGTTAAAATTTTAGTACTCTTTCAATGAAGCTTAATGTTTTCCTTCTTATTGTTAAGTTTTTATATATATTTCTATCAGTTCTTAAGAATTTCATTCATATCCTAAGTAACTTTTGCAGCTGTTATGAATGAGGTTACTTTCTGATTTCCTTCTTGCTGTTGACATACAGAAAAGCTAGTGCAATTTGTTTCTTGATTTTATGACCTGCTGCTTTGCTGAAATCTCTCATCACATCCAAGAATTTTATGGTAGAGGTACTCCGGCACTTCAATATAGGAACATGTCATTGGCAAGCAGGGATAATTTGGCTTCTTCCTGTTTGTATGGCTTTCATTTTTCATTTTTTTGTGATTACTCTGGCTACAACTTCAAGCACTGGATTGAGTAAGAGTTGAGAAAGCACACACTGCTTTCTCATTTTCACTTTTCTAGGAAATTCAGTTTTTTTCTCACTTGATCTCATGCTGGCTGTATTGTTGCACGTGTGGGGGTCTCTGCAAACACCAGGACCAGCAGAGCGTTGAGATAGGGGAGGCACAAAGGAATTTGATTCAACATTTGGTTCAACACAACTCAGGAGCTGGTGTTGCTGCAAACTTCAAGCGTCTGACACCAGGTAGTTTATTTTAGGTATATTTTAGCACAGCACAATTTAGAAAAAAAAAAAAATCTTCCTGGTGATAATTAACACAATCGCGATTGCACACCAAAGCTTAAGACATTAAAACTCTTACAAAGTACAAGTAAACACTTGTATAAAAATGAGTTCTGTAGATTAACTAAGAAAGCAGGCTCCAGGTCAGCAAGCTCAGGATAGGGGTCTGGGGGAAGATAGTGGTATATAGATCGACTAAGTTAAATAAACTCAAAATAGAGGTCTAGGGGAGCTAGGAGAAAGTGCAGACATCACATTCCACTCCTGATGTTTCCCTGGTGCTTATCTGTGGGCACAGAACCTACAGTCAGATAGTCATTATTCTGCTGATATCTATTTGTTCTGCTCCTGGTTTCTTCAGAGCTGTTATCATGAAGTCATCCTGAACTTTATCAAAGGTCTTTTCTTCATCTGTTGACATGATAAGTGATTTCTATCCCTAGTCCATCCGTGTCTTTTATATGTACTAATCTGTGACTCACTGTCCTTGTATCTCTGGAATGAAACAACTTTGTTATGATACACAATCTTTCCACTGTCTTTTTGATTAGTAAGTATTTTACTGATAATGTTTGGAATCAGATCAGAAAAATGGGCCTGTAGCAGGGTAAACTGTTTATTGGCTCCTTATACACTGTCAGAGTAATCCTGGCTTCATAGGATTAGTTCACTTGGGCTCCCTTTCATTCTATTGTGTGGAATAATTTGAGGTACACTGGAGCCACTTCTGCAAAGCTCTGGGAAAATGTGGTGGTGAATTAGTCTGCTCTTGGCTTGCCTTAGTTGGGAGACTTTTTGTTGTTGCTGCTGCTGTTCAATTTATTGATCGTCATGGATCTGTTTAAGTTGCTTACATGTCTACATTTTCTTGGTCATATGTGTCTAAGAATTGACCTATTTCTTCTAGACTTTCCAGACTTTTGGAGTATATGTTTTCAAAGGATTTCCTAGGGATCAGATCAGAAGACTGGGCCTGTAGCTGGGTACAGATTTCATTGGAATCTGTTGCAATCTCCTCCCTTTCACCTCTACTTTTATTAATTTGGATCTTTTATTTCTGTCAATAGGTTTGACTAAGTGCTGCGGGCCACAGGAATATCATAAGAACTCAGCTGGTTATGGCAAAGTCACTACC